GCTAAGCGACTAATAGCTATGAGATTAAAAGGACTATTGGGAACATAAAGGACTGAATCTAAAGGTAAGGAAGGAAGTGGGCTTGCTTGACCTATTGCAGTTGCCATGGTTTGAGACCCATTGGCCATTGTGACTTTTGGAAGAGATTGAGAATACGAAATAGTAGTGAAAAGAGATTTGTTACCAGAAATATGATCTGATGCACCTGAATCAATGACCCAAGACTCAGAGGATGAAGATTGGGAGAAACAAGTCACGCTATTACCTGTTTGAACAACAGAAGCTATCTCAGAAGATGTCTGCTTACATGCTTTATACTGAAGGAACTCAATATACTCTGCTAAAGAAACCATCCGACTATTCAAAGCATCGGTTCCCATGTCGCTACAATTTGTAGTAGTAGGGTTAACTTGAAATAGTGGAAATAAGTAACTCCTGTGAGAAAACTGAAGAAATAGCTTGAAAAACACTGTTTACAGCAGGAAAACAGAACACTGTTCTGTGCCGGAAACACTGTTCACGCCGGAAACACTGTAGCTCGCCGGAAAATTCCAAAGTTGTCGGAATTTGTTGTAACCAGGATGGATAGACTCGGAATTCCTTTGAGAGCAAGCTGTCCTGAAGAAATATTTTCAAAAAATGGCCAGAAAGGTCACTGATCACGCGGAAAAAATATAACAGTGGCCGGAATTTGATTTGAATTAGATGGGTAGGCTCGGAAATTTGAGGAGAGCACACTGTCCTGAAGAAGCTTCGCGAAAAAATGGCCGGAAAGTGGCCGGAACCCTCGCCGGAAAAGTTGTTGCCGGCGCGTGGATGAGCATGGCGGCTTTTCTGCCGGATAAAATTTCAGGGGTTGGTAGTCGGAGGGTGATCTACCTCGTGGTGGTGTTGGTTTTAGCACAACGCCGACAGAAAGTGACTTTCACTTGGACAAGCCTTAGGTCACCGGAAAAATTACACGATGACTAAGTTCTTTCTTCCCGGTTAACGCTGGAATGACGCACAACGATCTTTTCTCACTAATGCTCTGATACCATGTGAGAAGGCACGGGAGAAAATATGTTATTGATATTGGATGATAAATACAATACAAGAGGTCCCAATTTAGAGCTATACACTACAAGGAGATATTACTCTTCTTCCAATGTGGAACAAGACTACACTATACATATCTATAAACTAACAGGATTGAATAAACATATCCCCAAACTAAAGTTCCAATGCCTTAGACAACTATCTTGTTGCATAGAATATTGTGCCAATAGGGTTGAAGACCTTGTATGGTTCATCGGTTTAGTTAAATTGTACTTGGGTTTCTCTCTCCTCACATTTCTTGATAATTGATGCTCTTTGCAAATCTGGTGTATCCGGATGCAACTCCTTGGTGCCCATCTAAGAAAGTCTCTTTTACCAATTAAAATAAAAAAGAACTAGTTGATTGAGTATTGGAGCACAAAAAAAACCATCATGTAGTGCAAATAAAAGTCTTCTCATTCCTCTTATGAAAGAACAATGCAGAGAGAAATGAAAATGGGTCCCATTCCTCTACATGTACAAAATATGCACCAATTCCAACTTATGGACTTGAAGAAAATGTGGTGCTCCATCAACTACGATTCACATGGGAAACGGAGGGGAAGGATGAGAGAGTTGGGACAAAGAATGTTGTTCAGGGAAATTAGAATTTAGATGATCTCATTTAATAGTAGGAAAGGAAGACCTGAACAAAAGGGTCATAGCAAACTGGGTACAGGGAGTGGAGAGTAGGGTTGGTTTATCTTCAGACAAAATAAAAATAATTCTAGAGTCAATTACTCGAAGCGTGTCAAGAAAGAAGTGGACAAAAATGAAATGATATCGGCTAGGGGAGAGTAGGAGGGGAGTTGATATAATAAGAGACGAGGAAGTCGGAAACTCTGGCTGTAAAGAAGGGGGATTTTTCCATTGCTATGGTGTTTTAAAGTGAAGGGATTAGTATGGCATTGGGTTTTATAGGGGTTCATGCAGTAGGAGATGGGTCAATAATAGAATTCTGGGATGAATTCTTTGAGTTTATTTCTAACGTAAGCCTCCTAGGGTGATAAGGGGACTTTAAATAATACAGATTTCTGAAGGAGAGAGTGGGATGTGAGACCTATTCCAGAGAAATACGGAATTCACTGAGTTTTAAAACTCTCAGCAACTGGTGTCTATGTTCACTTGGGAAGTGCTAAATCCACATAATCCAAGGCAGATGAACTAAAATCTATATTAGACTCTATACATTTCTCATTTTACAGACTAGGAGAAAAATTCTTAGATATTATTCACGCTTCACTACGCAGACTACTGTCGATTCATATGCCAATCCTTCTGGATTGTAGCTGATGTAGAAGACCTAAGACACAATTCAAAATTCAAACTTGAAAACATGTGATGCATATGCGGATAATTGCTAAAAGTATAGTACATTAATGGAACGATGTCCTGTCAAAGGCACTCGGTTTACTTGCATTGCAAAAACATTAAAAACCCTTTAAAATGATCTTAGAACATGGAATATGGATGTGTTAGGAAGGAGGAGATAAACTGAGAGAAATGGATGAGATTGAAGAATTAGAGAGGAAAGGACCAACACGGATCTAACCAACAGAGCAAAAAAAGAGGAAAGAAGAAGTGAAGAAGAACTAATGACCCGCAACTCTTGCTCAAGAATCCAATCCGAGACGAAAATTGAGAGTACCATGGTTGAAAGAAAAGCATTGCAACACAAAGTTGCTACTCAATTAATAGGATGCAAAGCTTTATAAATGCAATGGAAGTTGTAGGGAGAGTATTTGAGGGGAAGGAGGAGTTAGGAGCTAATTTAGGGCTTCTACACACAACAGTATAAGAACCTAGGTGGGAAAGAGTAGCTGTTAGCAATATTGGAAGGGAGAGGATGAATTAGTTAGAGATGAAGTTCTCACAGTCACAGAATCAAATCTAGAAGGCAATCAAAATCTGTTGGGCATAAGCTTTGAGTCGCATAGTTTATGCACGGCGTTCTACCAGCATTGTTGGAAAATGGTCAAAGATAATATCATGAAGGTAGTTCATACTTTTTATATCACTGGAAATCTGAAAGGAGCCGTAACTTAACTCATCTGTATGGGGCTTCAAGCATTAAGGATGTTAGACCTATTAGCTAAAAACATACTCCCTCCGTCCCAATTTATGTGATGGTGTTCTACTGGGCACGAGGTTTAATAAAGAAGGGAAGACTTTTGAAATTTGTGGTCTAAAATAAACCATTGGTATTTGTGTGGCAATAAATCATCTATTAAGGATAAAATGAGCATTTTAGAGTTAAATTGTTACTACATAAATGTGTCATTCTTTTTGGGACTGACTGAAAACGAAAGAGTGTCATATAAAATGGGATGGAGAGAGTATAAAAGATTATTGCAGAGGTACTTTTGTTAGACTTGAGAAGGTACTAGAGGTTACATTCTCAGCCTCCTAAAATCCATTCTTGGAAGGAAAATAAAACAATGCCATCATTCGATACAGATGAGTCCGTGGATTCAAGAATTAAAGGTAGTGTTTCAATGCTACTGTAAACTTGATCTAAAAGAGCATATAATTAAGTTAATTGGGAGTTCATGATCTTGTAATGGAAACAAGATGAGATTCGGAGGTAGATGGAGAAAGTAAATTACGCATTGTATATCCACAAGTAAAGCGTGTGGTGTTAATAAAAGGAACTCCAACATGCCTCTTTTAAAGATTCAAGAGGCCTACGACAAGAGGATTCCTCTAGCTTACATTGTGCATCCTTGTAGTATAAGCACTTCGATAGATGATAAACAAAGCTGTGGCAGAAGGAAACTTAACGAGATTCTCAAGCAAAAGGAAGGTAAGACAACGTGCACTAGCTTTTGTTGATAACACACTAATGTTTTATAATGCGAAGATGGCTCAATTACAGCATTTGAAGCACATTTTCCTAGGGTATCAGGCTTGCCTGAAGATCAATTTGAGAAATGTGAAACCATCCTGTGAAAGAGGTGGAGAATATTGAGAAACTTGCACAGGTTTTCAATTGCATAGTTGAATCACTTCCAACAACTTACCTTGGTCTACGGTCTACCTCCGGAAGCTACTTATAAGGACGGTGCACTTTGGAATTCAGTGATTAAGAAAATCCAAAAAAACATTATTGGATGGAAGCATAAGTACTTATACTACCCTATTACATGTCTCTCATGCACATATTTGCTCCATACCAGAAAAAATTGAAAAAACTAGAAGAAATTTCTTGTCGGATACAAATGACCTAATAAACTGGAAGGTTGCTAGGTTTGGTCCTAAATGCATCAGCTCTAGACCTAAACAATTACAATATATAAGAAACCTATTGTTCAATCCAAGATCAAACTTCAAATCGGTACGCCCATATCCCTCTCTGGATTACTGCAATGCTCTTTGCTTTACCTACTTCTCACACGACTGTTCGTCATCTTCCTTCTTGAAATCCGAATCTATCCTCTCTAGTTTAGTGCTCTCTTTGGTCAAGCCTTTAGAACTTTCAGTTCTCAAGGTTTATTTTTCGATACCTTTTGAGATCACAAATTTCAATGTAGGATATAAAATGTACAGAAATGTCATGGTGTATCCTGTGCGCTATACATCTCTCAATATTGGAGTTTGATGTGGCCTTAATGCTTCATAGATTATGAAATGTTAAACCTACTGAAAGAATATACTCCAATTATTTGCAAGTCATTTGAAAATTAACTAAACATTTATTGGAGAATCTACGGCTTCAGAATTGTTTAGAGAATTACAGTAAATGGAAGTTAATGAAAGTGGTTAGCAATTGACATAATTTCCTAAGTGAATATTTAGTTCTTTAACAGCTTGTTTGATAAGCCGAAAACTGCTAACCCCAAAATTTGAAGTCAGAAACATACATTCACACACTGCATTCAACTGTTAATAGAGAGACAAAGGAAGAGGGTTAAATGAGTACATACAGTCTTGCGCTATAAGGCCTTTTTCATGCACAACTCCTCCTGCCATAGAAATGATTAAATTTATTAAGGGAAAATGTGTATAAATTCATAAAAAAATGAAAAGAGTTAATTGCTCTTTTGGTCCTCCAGTTATTAGTAAATTATGGTCCTTCAATATACTAAAACGTGAGTTTTTGCCTTTTGGTCCCTTCATACAGGAAATACATTATATTTAGACTATTACGTTCTAGAACTATATTATCCTCAAATATGGAGTAACAATAAAAATTTAACATAACAAATCAATAATTAGCGCTTAATAGTTCATTAAATTTGTGAAGATTCACAACCAGAGGCATTAAAAGTGCACATATCAATTAGTTGAATGTTAAATGCGCTTAAGCAGAAATCAAAAGGACCAAAAAAGAATTTGTTGATATTTGAGGGACTAAAAGCACAAATTTCCCAAATGAATAATAACCCCACGAACATTAAAACGCAGCATACCCCAATTCTGCAATCTCCTGTTCTTCAAAGATTTCCATTTAGAAATTGGCGCACCGTTTATCTAGAAAAGCACACACAAAAGAAACAAAGTCTTGTAAATAATGGAAGAAAAGTAAATATACAGTATTTCAAGAATAAATAGAACTGAAGAAAATGAAAAAGGCAAAAAGGATGGATTAAGTAAGTAATAAAGATGGGAATTTTACATTATTCAAGAGCTGGTCGTGTTCAGAATCAGTAATGAAATCTGGAATGAAGAATACAGTGGGTACAGACCCAACTGCGAAGTCGTTCATTTTTCTGCTATGGCAAGGACCAACTTGAATTCAGTCCAAGTATCCCCGGTACCCCTAGTCCGATCAATGAACCACTTATTTTGAACAAAAATGTAAAATTAAACTAAGAGTTTTTTGTTTAGGGTTCGTTTGGTGGATGATTTTGGTGCATAGAAATACAGTGAATAATAATATGAGAAAATAAATTATAGGGTTGTTAACGCTCGAAATAGATCTCCTAGTGCATCCTAGCGGCCGACATGGTTAGGCAGGCTCGAGACATAACAATAAATGATTGAAGATCGATCCAAGTTTCACCGGGCTAAAACCCGAAGATAGGACGCCTGCCTTCGAAAATATCGAGGCCATGATCCCGAAACCAATCCTAGCCTCAAACAACTTTGAAGAAACATTGTTAGCAAAGCCAACGGAAGCCCGAAATATCCGTGAACAGTCGGATATTACGACGGGAATCTCGGCACGTATCGATAAAGAATCGACAATTAGTAAATCAAAAGATTTTTTACCTTTTATAAAACTGTACCTAAAGTAGGACTCTTGTACTATACAAAGAGGGTCTGATAATTCATAAAATACATGGTAACACGCATTCCAAAGCAATATATTCATTAAGGCTTAAATCATCTTCCTCATGCGATTTGAGCTTACTTTATCCTTATTTATTTAATTTGTCTTTATTTGCTCCTTTGTGTCAAATAAATCTACGTATCCTCAAAACCACTTATAAATTTAATTGTTATCCAATTTTGAGGGTAAACAGTTTGACGCCCACCGTAGGGCTGAGGATAATAGTGAATATTTGATACAAATCTATAACACATACTGCTTTACACTTGTTCTTTGGAGTGTCTCTAATTTCAAGTTAAAACTCAAAATGTCAAACTCCTAGTCAGCACATCTGCATGTTAGCGATGAGTCCGGTCTTCACGGCGAAAATAACATAGTGCTCAGTGGCGGGGCACCACCTATTGATCCCGTCGGAATTTTGGTCGCTGACCCGATTGACGCCAACTCGCATATGGCCATCAACGCATCAATCTACGGGTGATCTTCGAAATGTTGTAGGCTCAACAGGCGGTGATAGCCCAGTTACAGAACCAAAACCGCGCACCGAGTAGAATTGAACCCGATCCATCCCGGGGAAATCACCCGCAGAAACGAACCAGTCGTAGAGAGGCCGAATGAAAATAAATCGGGGACCAACCCTGAGATCTTAAAGATGCTGGAGGAACTAACAAAATGGGTAGAATCAGGGGAGAAGAAAATCGAATTACAACTTCAGGGTCGACCAAATCCTAGGAGCACCGCCGATATTAAAAGTCGTGGATTCCAAGTAGTTCGTTCAAAAATCATTCCTTCCGAGCGCGGCTCCTAAGCCGATCCCTAAGAAGTTCTGCATGCCCGAGATTCCTAAGTATAACGGAACGACTGACCTAACTGAGCATGTGACCTCTTATACATGTGCTATCAACGGGAACGACTTGGAGGATGATGAGATCGAGTTTGTCTTGCTGAAAAAGTTTGGGGAGACCCTGTCAGAAGGAGTTATGATATGGTATCACAACTTACCTTCTAATTCTATTGATTCGTTTGCTATGCTTGCAGATTCCTTCGTAAAAGCACACATCGGGGCTATCAAGGTCGAGACCAAGAAGTCAAACCTTTTCAAAGTAAAGCATAGGGATAACGAGATAAGCATAGGGATAACGAGATGCTCAGGGAATTCGTGTCCCGGTTTCAAATGGAACAGATTGATTTGCCCCCGGTCGTGGATGATTAGGTCGTTCAGGCTTTCACCCAAGGACTCAACATTTGAAGCTCGTTGGCTTCATAGCAGTTGAAACAAAACTTGGTAGAATATCCGGCCATCACTTGGGCTGATGTCCATAACCGGTATCAATCAAAAATCAGGGTCGAACATGATCAGCTTGGGGGCCCTTTCGGGTCCGTGTATCCCGTCAGAACCATCGATAGAGTCAAAAGAGACATTGATCATGAACCGAGGTCAAACAAGGATCGGTATCAGTCGTACAATGGAGATCGAAGAAGCAGTGGATTGGGGCAGAACCCTATGAGAAATGAAAGAAGAAACGACCGAGGTCAAAGAAACCGGGGACTCATGAGCAAAAGCAGCTTCGGCAGGCCCGTCGGGCCTAAAGAAGCGCCAAGATTATTAGAGTACAACTTCAACGTCGATGCCGCCACTATCGTATCTTCCATCAGACACATCAAAGATACCAAATGGCCTCGACCTCTACAGTCCGATCCATCCCAAAGGGATCCTAACCTAATGTGCAAATATCACGACACTCATGGCCACAGAACAGAGGACTGTCGACAATTAAGAGAGAAGGTGGCCCAGTTGTTCAACAATGGACATCTACGAGAGTTCCTGAGTGATCGGGCCAAGAACTACTTCAGGAACAGGGATTCTAATAAATAGACCGAGCAGGAGGAACCTCAGCATGTCATTAACATGATAATCGGTGGAGTCGACATTCCCTAGGGGTCGATGCTGAAGCGCACCAAAGTATCCATCACAAGGGGAAAATGGACTCGGGATTATGTACCGAAAGGAACCTTGTCTTTCAACGACGAGAATGCTTAGGGGATCGTGCATCCCCACAACGATGCACTGGTAATATCGGTACTCATAAATAAATCTCGAGTTAAGCGGGTGTTAATTGATCTAGGTAGCTCAACCAACATCATCAGATTGAGGGTCGTGGAACAACTCGGCCTACAAGATCAGATCATACCTGGGGTCCGAGTCCTGGACGGGTTCAACATGGCATATGAGACCACTAAAGGGGAGATAACATTATCGATGAACATTCTCGGAACTATTCAGGAAGCCAAGTTCTATGTAATCGAAGGAGATATGAGATACAACGCTTTGTTTGGGAGGCCATGGATTCACAACATGAGAGCAATACCCCCAATACTGCACCAGGTGTTGAAATTCCCAACACCCGGAGGAATCAATACAGTTACGGGGAACAACTGGCCTCCAAGGAAATATTCGCGGTCGATGAGGTGATCCCGGCATCCACACTCTCGATAGCGAAGGGTCCGAATCTGGTGGCCAAAGACGAGGCCAAATAGCAATTATCGGTACCAGCCTCGACAGAACTAGAAAAACAAGGGGTAGACGAGGACGACGACTACAGAGTTCCCAGATCCTTCATAGCCCCCGACGATTCCGACGCTAACAAATCAACGGTCGAGGAACTGGATCAAGTCGCACTAATCGAACACTTGCTAGATCGAAAGGTATACCTGGGCATGGGGTTAAGCCCCGAGCTCAGGAAAAAACTCATTTAATTTCTTATAGCTAACGAAGATTGTTTCTCTTGGTTGCACCTTGATATGACAGGGATCCCGCCGGAAATAACCACTCACAAGCTAAGCCTGGACCCGAAGTTCCACCCGGTCAAGCAGAAGAGGAGACCCCACTCTGAGGTTAAACATGCTTTCATCAAGGATGAGGTATCTAAATTCCTTAAAATTGGGTCCATTCGGGGTTAAATACCTGGATTGGTTAGCAAACGTAGTGGTAGTACCTAAAAAGGGGAATAAATTAAGAATGTGTGTAGAATATAAAGACTTGAATAAGGCATGTCCCAAGGACTCCTTCCCTCTGCCCAACATCGACCGCATGATCGATGCAACGGCCGACCACGAGATCCTCAGTTTTCTCGACGCCTATTCCAGGTACAACCAAATACGGATGAAACCGAGCAATCAGAAAAAAACCTCCTTCATCACTAAGTACTACACCTACTGCTATAACGTGATGTCATTTGGACTAAAAAATACCGGTGCCACTTACCAACGCCTAGTAAACCGAATGTTCGAGGAACAAATAGGAAAATCAATGGAGGTTTACATTGACGATATATTGGTTAAGTCCCTGCGAGCAGAGGACCATTTGATACATTTGCAGGAAACCTTCAGCATATTGAAGAAATACAATATGAAGCTGAATCCAGAGAAGTGTGCATTTGGAGTCGGATCCGGTAAATTCCTCGGATTCATGGTATCCAACCGGGGAATCAAGATCAACCCCGATAAGATCAAAGCCATCGAGTATATCATTTTGTGGACAACATGAAGGCCGTGCAAATATTAATCGGACGCATAGCCCCCCTGGGGAGGTTCATCTCGAGGTCTTCAGACAAGAGTCACCGATTTTTCTCACTGTTGAAAAAGAAGAATAACTTCTCGTGGACCCACCCCAGAGTGCCAACGGGCCTTGGAGGAGCTCAAGCGATATTTATCGATGCCACCGCTGCTCCACACGCCGAAGACAAACGAGCAACTATACTTGTACCTGGCAGTATCGGAGATAGCGGTAAGTGGAGTCCTAGTCCGGGAAGAGAAAGGTACACAATTTCCAATTTACTATGTCAGCAAGACTTTAGGCGAGGCCGAAATTAGATACCCTCACCTAGAGAAATTGGCGCTTGCTTTGCTAAGCGCCTCTAGGAAGATGAAACCGTATTTTCAATGTCACCACATATGTGTTGTGACTACTTACCCATTGAGGAATGCAATGCATAAACCCGAACTCTCGGGGCGGTTGGCCAAATGGGCCATGGAGATCAGCGGGTACGATATTGAATATCGGCCCTGAACCGCTATTAAATCTCAAATTTTGGCAGACTTTATTACCGACTTTATGCCAGCCCTAATAGCCGAGGTCGAAAGAGAGTTATTGTTGAACTCAGGGACTTTTTCGGGGATTTGGACCCTCTTTACGGACGGTGCCTCAAACGCAAAAGGGTCCTGACTTGTCATCGTATTGAAGCCACCAACAGGCAATGTAGTTAGACAATCTATTAAGACTGTAAAATTGACTAACAATGAGGCCGAATATGAGGCCATGATTGCAGGTCTCGAACTAGCCAAAAGCTTAGGGGCGGAGGTTATCGAAGCTAAGTGCGACTCCCTCCTTGTGGTGAGCCAAGTTAATGGGATGTTCGAAGTCAGAGAGGAACAAATGCAAAGGTACCTGGATAAGTTGCAGGTAACATTACATCGGTTCAATGAATGGACTCTACAACACGTACCTCGGGATCAAAACAGTGAAGTCGATGCCCTTGCTAACTTGGGGTCATCGGTCGAAGACGATGAGTTCAACTCGGGGACAGTCGTACAACTCATGAGATCGATGGTGGAAGAAGGCCACACCGAGATAAACTCAACAAGCCTA